AAGCAACTCCTGCTAGAAGAGGGCACATCTTGTCCTGGGAGGACGATCTTGTGGTGAAGGCACTGGAATGGGGCTCTGGAGACAATGCTTCAATTTTCTGCTCTTCCACAGACACCCTATGTGACCTTGGGTAGGTCACTCAGTGTCTCTCTACCCATGTGTACAATGGGGATAACAGGGCTTTCTCGGGCTTGCCCTGAAGGGCTTATGATATAAATAGACAAGGCCTGGCTCTCAGTAGGTTTTTATACAGCACCTGACACAATGGGACCCCTAGCCACTACTGTAATACAAAGATGAATACTTTGTCATAGACCCATAGGAATAGAAGGGACTGCAAGGATTATCTAGTCTAATCCCCTGTCAAGATGCAGGATTTGTTGTGTCTGAATCATCCAAGACAGATGGCTGCCCAGCCTCCTTTTGAAAACCACCTGTGAAGCTGATCTCCCCCATGCCAAGTTCTCCAGCATGGAACTGCTTCTCAGCTCCATGCTAAGTGGATCTCCATGCTGCCCCACTAGACTGCTGAGCCCCTTTTGCTTCCCAGCATGAGGCAGGGAGCCAGAGCAGCAGGAGGGGCCAGGTGAGAGGCTGTTTAGGAAGCTAACTGGGCAGGGAACAGTGTTAGCCATATATCCCACCCACAACATCTCTAGTACATGAGCAAATCATGAAGGCTCAAAAACCCAGTGATAGCCAATGCCCTTAGGGGTTGGCCAGGAGAATGGATGATTGGGCACATGGTTCAAAGAGGAGTCTGGAGTTCTGAAAAGGCTGCTGGAGAGATGGAATGGGAGGCAGGTTGGCTGCCTCTTTTAGGGGCCTGTGATAGATGAAGCGAGGGTAGCTCCCTTTTATGGACACCAAATCAGCCAGTTAGCTGTAAAATCCCTCTTGGTGTCTGTTCTCTGTTTGCTTTACCTATAAAGGGTTAACAAGCCCACAGGTAAAAGAAAAGGAGTGGGCACCTGACCAAAAGAGCCAATGCGAAAGGGCTAAAACTTTTTTAAATTGGGAAAAACCTTCCCTTTGTGATCTATTGTTCTCTCTGGGCTGCAGCGACATGGAGCAGCAATGCTATAAGCAGGAATGCTGTGTAAAGCTTTAAGCCTGGTATGAGAAATCATCAGATCATACCTAGAATTACATATTTGCAGGATTTCAAATAAGTAAGTAAATTAGAAATGTTTAAATAGACACAATCAGGTTTATTTCTTTAGTTTGGCTTGTGAATCTCCTCTGTGCTAACCCCAGATGGTTTTGTTTGCTTGTAACCTTTAATCTGAACCCCCAAGGAAGCTATTTTGGGTGCTTGATTTTTGGAATTGCCTTTTTAAAATCTAGCAAAAGCCTAAGTTCCAGATGTTTTTTTTTTTTTCCCTTTTTGTTAAGAAAATTTACCTTTTTAAAGAACAGGATTGGATTTTTGGTGTCCTAAGAGGTTTGTGCATGTTTGATTAGCTGGTAGCAACAGCTAATTTCCTTTGTTTTCTTTCTCAGCTCTTCCCCGAAGGGGGGTGAAAGGGCTTGAGGGTACCCCACAGGGAGGAATTCCAAAGTGCTCCTTCCTGGGTCCAAGAGGGTTTTTTGCATTTGGGTGGCGGCAGTGTTTGCCAAGCCAAGGTCACAGAAAAGCTATATCCTTGGGAGTTTAATACAAGCCTGGAGTGGCAAGTATTAATTTTTAAAATCCTTGCGGGCCCCCACCTTCTGTACTCAAAGTGCCAGAGTGGGGATTCAGCCTTGACAGGGCTGCTGCTGAATAAGAAGAGATGATGATTCAGGAGCCAGCCATCAGCAGCAAATCTATGAGCTGCCAGTGGAGGAGGACAGACCATGGGAGAAAGAGAGCAGGTGGGAAGGAAGAGAGAGAGGAACAGAACAGATGACAGCAGGGTGTGAAAAGCAGAGCAGTGGAGTGAATACAATACAAGCTTTAAACAAACGAAGGCCTGATTTTAGGCATCTTACTTTGGAGTTGTCCAACTTGATTATCACAGAGGGCTGAACACCCTACCTGTGACCATAACTTTAAAAGGAGTCCCAAGTTATGCCCCTTAAAATTAAGGCACCTAAAATCATTAATGACTGTTGAAAGTTTGGGCCCCAAGACAAACCCCCTCTCCATTACAGACAATAGAGAATGTTACTTTCAAGGGATAGTGCAATGGCCACAGTGAACAGGAGGGAAAGCAGGGCTGGGCAATCCCACCTAGATGAAGTATTTTGCAGACACATGCACTCCACACACTGACATTTGAGATCCTCATATCCTGAGATCTATCAGACCTGCCTTCCTCATAGAAGCACATGTCAGTCGTGTAGTAATAATATCTAGCTCTTATCTAGCACGGTACAGTTGTCTATCTCAAAGCACTTTACAAAGGTGGTCAGTATCATTACCCCATTTTACAGATGGGGAAACTGAGGCAGATTCAGAGGAAATTACTTGCCCAAGGTCACCCAGCAGGCCAGTGGCAAGAACCAGGAATAGAACTCAGGTCTCCCAAAACCCAGTCCAACACTTTATCCACTAGGCCACACTGCCTCCCTAAGTCACACACTGAGGGCTTGTCTTCATGTACAGTGCTACAGCGGCACAGCTGCAGCACTTTAGTGAAGATGCTACTACACCAACGGGAGAGCTTTTTTCCATAGATGTAGTTCATCCATCTCCCCGAGAGGCGGTAGCTATGTGGGAGCAGCTTTCCCATCGACATAGCACTATATACATGGGGGGTTAGGTCAGTACAACTATGTCACTCAGGGGTGTGGATTTTTTACACCTCTGAGTGACTTAGTTATACTGACACAGATCTGTAGTGTAGACCTGGCATTAGGGGTCATTGACTTATTTGGTCGTTAGTGGAGGACTAGAGAAGCATTCTGAAGATACTTCCCTGAATCTCCCTCATCTGCAAGAGTCTGCTCATTAGGTCTTGGGTTTGACCGGAAGAAGTGGTGTGTTTTAAATCAAGGGCGCTATCTCAACTCTAGCTGAGACAAAATTCTAGTGCAGACAAAGCACTGTCGTGTTTACCTCAGTGTAGCTAGCCAAGGTAAACCATAGGCCTCCTGCATCAGGGTAAAAATCTTCCTGGGCCTTTAGTCTGTTGATGTAACAACCCAGTGGGGACATCACCGTGTAAGACACCCCCTCTTTTGCAGTGAAGACAGCCTATAAGAGCAGGTGTTTTAAGAGATTTGGGAGACTTTGCTTATTTCACAAGGGTAGAAATACCCATGGGACAATATTTCAGCACCTTCGCTTCTTCCAAATCCAGAAATGCAGAGGAACATAAAATCAGAGTCAGTAAATAACACGAATGTTCTAGAACCTTCAAAGCAAAACAGTAATTCAAAAAAAGCTGTGTTTAGTTTAATCCAACCTTTTTTGACAATTCTCAGTGATCAACCTCCAATCAACATTTCAATGATATTTACCCTGATATGAATCAAGATTTAGAACCTCAGTCAAAATATTATCAGATTCTGCAAACTTTAGAGGCTTTTTGTTCTATACATGGTGCTAACCCCTATTCTTCTTGGCAACCCTGGAGCAAAGGAGTTAATTGTATTTCCACTGGGAAAGAATAAAAATATTCCATTCCCCATCATCCTTACATAGGAAGGATCAAATTCAAGAATGCTTACTGTTGATCATGTGCTTGAGTGCTGTCCTAAATCAGGGCAATAGAGCCAAAACTTGACAGTGCATGGAAATGAAACAACACTTTGTGCCTAATCCTGCTCATATGGATTGCAGGGGAGCAGGATCAGGTGGAAGTGAGAAAGAAAATGTGCTTTGCTAAGGCATGGTGGAGCAGATGCAGGGGCTGTTGTCTCTGCAGTTTGCATGGTAACAAGGATTTGCCACAAGCCATCAGCTCTTGCTAGCAATACACTATATAAATGCATCTAAATATGCAGTTCATCCAAAGGGATAATATTTTTCCCAAGACAACAGATACATCGTAATGCTGCAGTAGTTACTGAAAACATCAACTTGAAACAAGTGTTAGATGGCTAAGTGGCAAAGGACTCCTTTGAGAGCACCCTGCACATAAACAATGTCACCAACATGGACCCACAAGACTGGGGTACCCACATTGCAGTTATGGGATTGTCTCCCCCGGCAGACACTTGGGGATTGCAACAGAGCCCTCCGGAGCTAAGAGCATGAGCTGCTACAACTTAGGCTAAAGAGCCAAGGCTCCTTAGCTGTGGGGTTTAAACTCACTCATACCTTCTGTGGATTGGACAGACTTGGACCTGTAACACACATACCAATGTGGTTACACAGTCAATGTAATGTATAATGCATTGTAATGGAGAACTCTGTCCCATATGGCAAAGCAACTGTCTTAACTGGCCTGGGTGGTATGTCCCAACCTGCAGTTGTCAACAGGAGCCAATTTAAAGTGCCCATGCCAGGAAGTAGGAAAAGTTGGAGAGAGGAAGTAGAGAGGTCCCTTAACGATACCATGGGCCAGCTGTGGTGTCATGCAATTCTGCATATCACAGCCTCTCATCCCCAAAAATCAGATGTCGTGAGCAGCAACAAAAAGCAACACCAGTGCAGTGATGCACAGATAACACTAACATAGCGCTTTGCATGCTGAAGGAACATCAGTACATGTGCCAGGTAGCTGGAGGTTATTAGTGCCATCTTAAAGATGGGGAAATTGAGGCATAGAGTGGTCAGGTTTTATAACCAGAGTCAAGTGTTGCTATTGACAATTTTTTATTTGGTCATTTTTCTAAAAAGTCACTAGTGGGAAGTAGCAACGAGGAGAAAGTTGGGAGGGTGGGGAGACGGGAAGAGTTGTGCATGCATGGAGGGGAGTTCCTACTTTCCTTGATCAGAAAAATAAAATTTCATTCCAGGAAAATGGGAATTTGAGACAAAAAATGATTCCCCTGCCTAACTAAGGTCAGGGTACCCTCCAGCTGCAGGGCATAACTGGGAAAAAAAACCCCAAGGGTTGATCACTCACTCATCTTGTGGCATCTCGGGTTCCATGGATTCATACATGTACCAATCAGAACTGGCGAAGTCATCATAAGCAAGGGAGCCGTGGGCTGCCAAGGAGCTCTCGTTCACCATTCTCTTCTCTCTCCACCTCCTCTGGGAAAAAGAAAGAAGAATTAAAAAAAAATTCTTGCCTTCTGCTCTTGGTAGAGCAAAAATACCCACAAGGATTGCAACAAATATTTTCCCTGGAGTTCTCTAGGGTCAGTTCAAAATGCTAAGTTTTCACAGGCTACTTTATGCTCTCGGTACTGGAGGGTCACATTGACGGATTGGGAGGTGGGGGGTAAGAATTTCTCCCTTCCAGTTAGGACTCTTTGCCATGTGAATTTGCATAATTTCAACAGCTGATACAAACAAAAGTAAAAAAGCCAAATCTCTACCGTGAAAAATCCAGTCTTGATTGGAGCTAAAAAGATTAAAGAGCTCAAGGCATGTTTAACTGGGTCCCTTCCACTCTCTCCTCCAACCCTCCTACCCAGCCTCAGTGCCCAGAGAATCAGAGTCTTTGTTTCAGTTACTTAACAGCATTTACATGAAAGCCTGGGAGTTGTGCAAGGGTCAAGATTTGGCTCCCTAGCAAGACACAGGCTAATCTAGAAAAGAATCAAGAAGGTCAGTGCGGTAACTGTCTGAACACAGGATTGAGCCAGGCTCTGCTCCCTTCCTGGGGCATCTTAAGCTGCTGTACCACATAGTACATGGCTATACCAGTCAGAAACAGTCCCCTGTGCTTTTCACTCAAGCTGATGCTGTAACTCCTCTGCCTCTAGCCTTCACTTCATCTGGGACATTTCAGACCCTGGAGATGAGTCAGCAATGATGCTGCTTCTCTCTGTTCTACTGCTGAAGAGAAAGACATCAAAGCAAAGGGATGGAGAACAACCTTCCTTATTAGCAAAACAGAGGCCCAGAAATAGGTTTCCAATTGCAGAGCAGAACAAATGCCAGACAAGCACTGCTAAGCTCCTTGAATGGACTTTCTGTAGAAACTTCTGTAACGCCAACAGTTGCTCAATGCAGCATCACAGCTGTTTGTAGAGAGGCAGAAGAGGTCATTTAGAGGCAGACTGCGATACCCTTCCCTGCTTGATTCCAAAGAGTCATCCCACTCGCTTGAGTCAGGCGCTGCTCAGTACGAGCAAGGGGACCAGCAGTTTGCCCTTATCGAGCAGCCTGACAGAGGTCAGAAGCAGAGCAGAGGAAAATAGAAACAGGCCAAGATTTCAAACTGGGATTCTAAAGTTAGGCTCCCACATCCATACATTGGCATCTAAATAAAAGCGGCTTGATGTTCCGGAGGTATTGCATATCCATAGCGTCTGTATTGCATATCCATAGCGTCTGTTGAAATCAACGGGAATAGGAGATGATCAGCAGTTTTATTTAGGTCCTGTGGATTCAGATGCCTAACTTTAAGCTCCCAGGTTTGAACATTCTTTTTCCATGGTTCCTTTCCCTGTTACTTGGAATAACCCCCCTGCTCAGAGAAAAAAATATTTTGTGTTCCTCAAAGTTGCTTGTTGCTGCCACAGATTGGCCTGGACATTTACCATCTCTCTTCAATAATAAGAAGAAATAGCAATTTATTACAGTATTGAATTTTTGATAACTTTTTCCCCCAGCACTTTCAGCATTTTTTTTAACTAAGGCACCATATGGCTCCCACGACCACATTATCTGAGCACAATCTAATGAACTTCCCATCATGACACTCCTGGGAGGTAGAGCAGTGCTCTCATCCCTGTTTTACAGATGGGGAGCTGAGGCACAGAGACCGAGACCCTGATCTGCAAAGGAATTTAGCCTAATTTCCATTTAAATTAACAAACCTCAATTCATTAGTTTCAGTGGAAGTTGGGAGCCTAAATATCTTGGAGGGTCTGGGTGACTTGCCCAAGAGCACAGAGGGAGTCTGTGGCAGAGCTGGGAATTGAAAGTGTTTAGTTAAAATAAGACATGACACTGGTCCCTGTATCTGACTTCCCTGGTTGCACCTGGGACCAAATTAACATCCCAAGAGATGCTTTTCTTATTGTATCTCCAGCCCAGTCAAAACAAAAACCAGGAAGTGCTGGAAATACCCCAAGGCAGCTGGATAGGAGAATTATAGCCATATTTGCAGACTCCTGGTTCAATTAGAGGCTTCTGGGGCAGGGGCACACACACACACACAAACCCACAAACTAAGAGTACGGTTAGTGACATTTCAGGTTCCTCTAGACTCCCCCATAACCTGCAAAGCATGGAAGCAAGGAAAAAATCTCCAGCATTCCTTGCCACCTTCATGTTACCTAAAATGCTGCTAATAACACACTGGATGAGAAATTATATTATATATCCCAGCTTCTATCCACTTCATGCTCCACTGCAAACTTTAGCAGCAACATCATATACTCTTGATCAACAGATGTGCACATCTGACCGCCCCACATTTATACCGTTGAGAAGTTATTCTCCTTTAGTGGCACCAAGGTTGCTATTAAGGTTTTGCATTAGAGCATGTTACTCCCTGGAGAGACCAAGCCAGGAATCTTCTCTGGGGCAGCTGCTGAGGTTGTTCCATGGCACCATTGCTCTTTCTGTGGAAGGCACAAGAAGAGTTGTAGATAAACATTGCAACAGAGCAACAGTGCACAGCAACACCCATACTTACATAGCAAGTGTTTGTCAATGAATAATACTGCTCAGCACTCATTTTATTTTCTAGACACAACAAACCCTGCATCTTGGCAGGGAGTTGGACTCAGTGACCCTGGCAGTCCCTTATGACCCTATGATTCTATTTGACATCTTCAAAGCACTTTCCAAGCAAGTCCCCATTTGTCCTCTCATACAGATAAGGGAATGATCACCAGCTGCTTCCATCTGGTGCCACTCTGGAGCCCAGGTAGCTGGTGCAGAACGATGCTTTGCCTTCCACAGTAGCTGGTGCAGAACGATGCTTTGCCTTCCACAGTGGCAGGCCCAAAGACACCCCTCCAGGTCCAGACACAACATTGCAGCTGCCCCTTTATTTCCATAATGTGCTGAATTGAACACTCAGTCTGGAACACCCCAGAACGTTTACACCATCCAGATTAGCTGGGCCCCATCTCAATCCATTGGTTCCCAGAGCCCCTACCAAGGGTGGGGCCCTCTTGTGCTATCTGCTGTACATGCACATAGTGAGGCCAACCCTGTGCTGAGGAGCTCTCAGCCTAAATAGATGAGGCAGACAAAGGGTGGGGGAGACAGAACCCAGCAAGAGCTGAGGCACAGAGGCATTAAGTGGCTTGCCAAGGTCACACAGGAGTCTGGCAGAACCAGGAATCAAACCCAGGCCTCCTGAGTCCCACTCCAGTGCCTTAGCCACAAGATTCATCCTTCCCTCTCATAAGGAATCCATTGTACTACCTCCTGCATCATCATTAGTTCTCCCTTTACAGACCCCCACGTGGAGCCAGGACTACTGAGACCATCATGTTTGGTTCAGCCTGCTCTGAAGCCAGGCCACTGCAGGTGTGATTCACCTGCCAAGAATGTAGCACTCAGTAAAAGAAGGAGCCTATAAAACCCATGCAGCTCCTTGCAGCACCATAAAAGAATCGGTTCACCCTGGAAGGCATCCTGAGGGGAAGCAATACCAGGTGTGTACCCCGGGGTTTACAGAACGGATGGACCAGGGCAGCTTTTAGTAAAGCACCTGCATTTGGAAACTAGGCTTCAACATATGTTGCAACTGCTGCTGCTAAAACATATGACCAGATGTTCAACTGGCATACGTCAGCATTCATGGAGCATTGCCAGGCTGCACCAGCCAAGGATCTGGCCCATGGTATTTAAATTAAACATAGCTCCAAGCCTGGCATTTGAGAATAGTTTCCATCTCCTTGCTTTCAGACACACAACACAAAGAGCTAGAGAAAGTACCTGCAGACGATGTGCGGCTACAGAAACACTGGGGAGGGTGGGGGGGTAGAAGAGAGGAATGAACCTTGATTAGCAGCTCCATTTGTACCAAACCAACAACAATCTCTAGCTCTTATATAGCTTTTTTCATCAGCACTTTACAAAGGGAAGTCAGTATCATTAGCCCCATTCTTCATATGGGGAAAACTGAGGCACAGAGCAGGGAAGGGAATTACCAAGGCCACCCAGCAGGCCAGTGGCAGAGCTGAGACTACAACTCAGGTCTCCTGCATCCCAGTTCAGGGCTCTAGCTGCCTGATGTCACAGCCTAATGCAACTCTGTAAGAAAAATCAAGTTACAATTTCCAACTCAAGTTGGAAACTCCTTCTTACCTAGGGTGACCATATGTCCCATTTTGGCTGGGACAGTCCCTTTTTTTAAGCCCTGTCCCAACCATCCCAACTTTATATATATTGACAACTTGATCACTTGGCAAGAGCAAATGGGACAAATGCCCACTTTTGTCAAAAAAGTGGGGTGCTGTGCGGAGGAACATGCCGGGAGGGGAGCGAAGATGCCAGCCCTGCACAGGCAGGGAGGCAGGGCTGGAGGGGTAGCGTTCCAGTATGTGGGGGGTTGGCAGGGTTCCAGCAACAGCCTGGCATGGGGCGGGGGCGCACTCAGGCAAGCAACTGGGGGTATCCAGTTTTTCCTTTGGGAAATATGGTCACCCTATTCTTACCTGAAGTACCTTGCAGGGTTTATACATCACAAGTGGTCAGGGTCTTGGCTTAATGTACAGTCTTGAACTATAGCAAGCAAACTCTAGAACCATGCAGCCACAGGGTCAGCACTGACCCAGAAGGCAGAGTTCCACCTATTGATCCCCAACAGCCCATGCTTTTAGGAGGTCTCCCATCCACGCACTGGCCAGCCCAAGCGTCTTTAGCTTTTGAAGGCTGGGGGCAGGGGGGAGGCCAGGGGAGGCTAGTTTTGTTCTGTATCATTGGCTGATTGGAGTCCCACATCTGTGACTAAGGAACAGCTGTTGAGGACAAGCAGGCAGGGGGAGCCTCAGAGACTTTCCAATGCTGTCATGGATTTGGCGGTTCAAGGCTATTCCTCCAGGGCTAAGTACAATGATTCTTCAGCGCTCCCATCCTTAGCCAGACTACTGGGGTGAATCAGATATAGGATTCACTAGCTGACTAATCTACCAATGCAATGCTGGCTCCCTGGGGTCATGCGCCCAGGAGAGAATCTTGCACTTACACCAGTTTGCCTCTGGAGAAGAGCCAGAAATGGGGGGATGGGGTCTGGTTCCTAAGGACAGTCTCTTCAGCACAGCTATCAATGGATGCTACATTCCTTAATGCTTGAGGACCTGGGACATCAGGTGTTAGCAGTACACTGGTGGCATCGCCTTAAGGTGCGATAAAGTTTTGCATTGCTTTATGGCACCATGAGGATTAAAGAAATAACAGTGGGAATGGGGCTCACAAGACAGCCTGTCTCAGCCTGTGGCCTGCAGAGCAGAGGCTATGCAAGAGTGAGAGGATTCTCAGGGCTTGGGTGTGAAGTTGCTGGACTAACAGTGTTCTGTTAGTCCAGCAACTAAAGAGTTAGCCTCTAGGTTGCATGCAGAGGGCCTGTTGCATTCAGGGCTCAACCCTGCGGGCCTGGCCAACTTCAACATGAAATCTTGCTTAGTAAAGATTGCAGGATCAGGCCCATACCCGAATTGGAAATCCCAGTGAGCCCAAAGCTAGTGAGAGTAGCTAGAGTGATTGAGCGACTCCAGTTGAGGATCAGGCTCAACATATGGAGACAATGTCTCCACACGGACCAATTTGTTTTGGAGCCCTGTCAAGCCTCCGCTGACCAATCCTGAGCCCGGACCTCTCCCTGGCTCCAGGCATTAGGAGTAAACATTACCCATCCCTCATTCCCCACTGAGCTTGGAACACAGAGATCCTTGTGCTCTCCCACCGCACAGAGCCCCACTCCACCCAGCCTTTAACCGAAACCTGATCGCTTTGCTCCTCTAGCTAACCTCTGCCTGGGAATGCTGGGGCTTTGATCACAGCAACACCAGTGAGATTGATGGTCTCAATAAAGGCCCTTCATAGTCTTCATTTCCCACTATCTATCACTCCCTGGGGAGCTTTTGCATCTCACCACTATGAAGTGGGGGGGGGAGGGGGGAGTGAGGCTGGGAGAGGTGGACTCCCCCCGTGTAATGACAGCTTATTGTGCAGCTTTTAATAAAAATGATAAAGATCCATCTCCAGAACTGTTCTGGGAGCCCTTTTTATTTTTAAAAGGGATTTCGTTTAATTCAATTGAGCTTCGCACAGAGCTGAGGCAGGAATGAAACAAGACGGACGGATCGGCTGTGGCTCGTCCAGAACTCCCCACAGTGCCTGCCGCATTTGTCTGTGCTGGGTTTGCTTAGTCTGTTAGATTTATTTATTTGCACCAGGGAGGGGCAGCTTTTCACACACACTGTTTGCACAGGTGCCAGTTAAGCAAAACAGCTGTCAGCTTACCAACGGTTAAGCAAATCCATAAAGAAACCATTAGCCATTTGCTCTTAAATTCAATCATCCCTTACTGGCATCAGGATGCAACCTGGTGATGTAGTGTAATAAATCTATGGCTGCACAGGAATTCATGCTAATCACCATCGTGCCTGTGATATCACTGTGGTAGTGGCGGTAGAACTCAGAGCCTCCTGCTCCAAAATCACCAACCCTTCCCCACTTTTGCTAAAGGAGAATCTCCCCATTAGCTGTTAGCAGTATAGGGTCTATGATACAGCTGTGTAGCTCTGATTCCATGCAGTAAAGAGCAGAGGAATATCCAATAAGGCCAGTGCAGGCCAAATCCTGAAAGGTATTTAGGTGACCAACTCATTGATTTCAAGACCTTTGAGGATCAGGGCCTATGTTATGTAACGTGGATATATTAGCATACTGCCTGTTTTTTAAGAGGTGGACCTCATCGGCCACTGCAGGGCAGCCCCTGCCGGGCAGCCCCTGCCACACCCCATGTGAGGGGAGAACAGGGGTGATTTCCTGGAGGGGGGACACAACTGGCTCTGTGCCTGAAGTAGAGGCCCCCTGCACTGAGGGCATTCTCCAAGACTGTCCTTATGCCTGCCCTATGGCCTCTGCTCCAACCTCGCTAGCACAATGGGCTTCATGGAAACACTGAATCAGGCCAAAGTGGCCAAGCACAGCCCCTGTGAAGCCAGCCATCTCTGCACTAGTGCCTTAGGCCCAGATTTTTGAAGCTATGTAGACACTACTGCGCTTGGCGTCACACCACCACACCAATTTAGGAGTATAAATCTCTCTTTCAAAAGGGATTTAGACACCTAGGCATCTAAACCCCATCAACTGGAATTCTAGCTCTCCAGTTCCTAAGTCCCTTTTGAAAGGAGGAGTCAGGCGCCTCAATCAATTAGGCATTGCGATGCTGAGCGCAATGCCTACATAGCTTTACAGACCTGCGCCTTGGTGGCAAGGGGGCATGGAGACACCAGTGATCTTGATAGCCCATGAAGTCCAGAGCCTTTGGAATTGCCCCAGTACAGCACTAGTGAGAGCGAGACACACATTCATGGGGCAAGGGAAGTCCCAGAATATTCCATGCCCCTGTCACCCACATAGCATTCCCTTGCACACAGGAAGCCTCCTGGAGGTCAGCAGCACCCCCTACCCCCACTGCCTCCAGCCTGGTGGGAGTGGGAGACCCTGGAAAGACAAGCGCATTTACTGTTGTGGCAGTCTGGGCAAGAGGGCACTTCTCTGGCTGTTTGCAAGCAAGTTTGGTGTTCATAATGGAAGCGCTCCTGGCTGGTGCCAGGCAGTGTGTGTTCAGGGGCTGTGCAAGCTTCCCATACTTCACACACATCTCTGCTGAGACACTTCACTGACTGTACCCCCTGCTATACCTGCCCTGTACCCTCAGCTTCCCCGCGGCTCTGCCAATCCTCCTCAAGCCAGGCCAGTAGCCAAGGCTGGATCCACCAACCAAGCAGCTGTATGCCAGTCCCCACCTGCACTATTAACCCTTCAGCCCCGACTCAACATTAAAGCAGCACATGGTGAAATGCTCAGAGACTGAAGGAAGACAATGGTGCCACCACTCCATGGAGCACTGAGCTGCAGCGCCTCTTCTAGGCTGCTCAGCACCAAACAGGCTGGTCAGCCATGGAGTCTCCTCACCCCACCATCTGTCCTCACCACTGATCACCCAGCCTGCCAACAGTCCAAATAGCAGCCTGCAACAGTCACTGCACCCTAAGCCCCCCACTTCAGAAGCTAATTAGCTCACATGCCCCTGCTTGTAGCACATTTCCCCCTCCCCCATCCACCCTTGGCCACAGAACCCATCCAATGACTGAACTGCAAGGGGGTGGGGGTGCATGGCAAAGCATTAGTCCCCAGTCTGGACAGCCTCTGAATGTTAGAACAACTGCAGCTGGACTAGGCAACTCAGACCAGCTCTAGAACAGCGGTTCTCAGAGTGACACTTGAAAGCTTATAATGGTGATTAGAAATCATTAGCTAAGCAAACTCAAGGGGGGTTCTAAATGCCTTTTGCTCATGTGATATTTTGAACATCAAGAACAGAATTAAATGCCTCAAACAAACTCTCCCGCAGCCAGGAGCAGCGGATTAAAGTTTGCATTTATTAACTGGAGTAATAAATAGTGGAACGTCACTAGTCACATGCAGATTCAGTAGCCTGAATTTCCCTTATAGTTTGTCAGGCTAAAGTTTATAAACAAAGTCCCCCCTGCAGCAGGGAACAACAACTTAACACAGCCCAACAAAGTAAAATGTTACCTTCTTCAGTCAACTCTTCTGAGCGGAGAGCAGATGCACAAAACTTCTCCTCTCCTCCGCAACAGTAGGAAGACGGTAATCCTGTTAAAAATACAGTCTTATTGAGAGAAACTTACAGATCAGCCACTTTCCTGCTTTCTCTCCCTGTATTTCAAAGTTACTTCAAGAGCTAGTTGTCTGGAGGCAAGTGGACTCAGCAACTGCTGCAGCTGCTCCTGTGTTTCCTAATCTGATCAGAGGATCCCAGCAGAGATGCAGCCATGCAAGCTTAAAGGCAAAGTTCAGCACACCGGAGAGAGGAGACTCTCTACTGCTGGGGAACTTTATCCCCTCCATTGCTAAGAGGGCTTGGCTCGGGGCCACCCCAGGGTTTAGAAAATTAAAAGCAACCAGTCAGTGCTTTGTTCACCCTTTGATTATCAACCACATTTCTGGAGAGTCTTCAGACAGCTCTCCGCCCCAGCACTTTGTCCACTCTGCTGTTCCCCCACCCCACGTAATACACACACAGACCATTAAGAGCTGTAGTGAACCCAGAGCCCTCAGGGACCAAACTCCAGCAAAATAATCCCCACTTTCACCTGTGCTGGCTGACATGAAAGGCAGGAGAGCAGATCTCCAGCTGGGGTAAACCGGCATAGCTCCACTGGAGTAAATGGGCCAGCTCATCAGCTTGTGTAAATCAGAAACACCCCATTGATTTCAGTGGAGCTATGGCAATTTATATCAGCTGAGAATCTGGCCCAGGAGCTTCCCTCTCTTTCCTCTATGTCTGACTTGCTCTGTTCCTTTGCCCCGCTACCTCTAGTTGCTCCAAATATATGAGGAGGGCTTCTCTGGCCTAGCCCCAATTCAACACAGCTCGGGGAGAGAGCTGAGTTAACTCAGTTTTTGGTTGTGTGTGACTATAGCAAGGGGGAAAGGGCCCGCTGACAGCCCTAGAGACTTAAGTCCTCTCTAGTCACAGGATAGGTACAGCTCAGCCAACAGCAGTGCAAGCTTCCTCACTGCCAGCGTAACTGTGCCCTGTCTGCTGTTAACTGACCTGATGGGAGGGCATTTGCAGTGCAGAGCACCCACATGAGTCATCCCACAGCAAGTGCAAGCTTGGTGCATTGCTACCCTGCATCCCCACATGTACTGTTCCTCAATCTTCCTCCTGTACCTTCCTATTGTAGAGATACCTATCTCTAGGTACCTAGCCCACAGAAACAGTGGCTTCTGGGAGATTTCAGAAAGCCTTCTGGAATACTTCCGTGAACCCAGGAAATTTGTGTGGAAGAGGGCAGATTCCCCTAGTCTTTTGGGAAACTTGCATAATTCCCCACAGACCATGTGTGGAGACTGAGTCCAGCAGCCCATGCAGCTTCTCAGGAGGGCAGGTGACATTTGTTCACACAGAAAGGCCTTTTGACGAAACAAATCTTCATGAAAAGTGGTTGACGTAGTCGAACTTAGAGCCAAGCAAGCACAGGAAATGCAGGATATTCCAACATTGGCTTTTGTTCCAAATCAGGATGAAAAGTTGAAACATCTAATTTTCTCATGGAACAAAATGTTGATTTTGGAATTTTTCAATAGAAATTAAACATGTCAATATTCTCCAATTAAAACATTTAATTTCAGTTTGTTGAACTGACCTGAAACATTTCATTTTGAGGCATTTCAATGTTAAATTGCATTTATTATTTCTCTTAGTAGAATCATAGAATCATAGAATATAAGGGTTGGAAGGGACCCCAGAAGGTCATCTAGTCCAACCCCCTGCTCGAAGCAGGACCAATTCCCAGTTAAATCATCCCAGCCAGGGCTTTGTCAAGCCTGACCTTAAAAACCTCTAAGGAAGGAGATTCTACCACCTCCCTAGGTAGCGCATTCCAGTGTTTCACCACCCTCTTAGTGAAAAAGTTTTTCCTAATATCCAATCTAAACCTCCCCCACTGCAGCTTGAGACCATTACTCCTCGTTCTGTCATCTGCTACCATTGAGAACAGTCTAGAGCCATCCTCTTTGGAACCCCCTTTCAGGTAGTTGAAAGCAGCTATCAAATCCCCCCTCATTCTTCTCTTCTGCAGGCTAAACAATCCCAGCTCCCTCAGCCTCTCCTCATAAGTCATGTGTTCCAGACCCCTAATCATTTTTGTTGCCCTTCACTGGACTCTCTCCAATTTATCCACATCCTTCTTGAAGTGTGGGGCCCAAAACTGGACACAGTACTCCAGATGAGGCCTCACCAATGTTGAATAGAGGGGAACGATCACGTCCCTCGATCTGCTCGCTATGCCCCTACTTATACATCCCAAAATGCCATTGGCCTTCTTGGCAACAAGGGCACACTGCTGACTCATATCCAGCTTCTCGTCCACTGTCACCCCTAGGTCCTTTTCCGCAGACCTGCTGCCTAGCCATTCGGTCCCTAGTCTGTAGCTGTGCATTGGGTTCTTCCGTCCTAAGTGCAGGACCCTGCACTTATCCTTATTGAACCTCATCAGATTTCTTTTGGCCCAATCCTCCAATTTGTCTAGGTCCTTCTGTATCCTATCCCTCCCCTCCAGCGTATCTACCACTCCTCCCAGTTTAGTATCATCCGCAAATTTGCTGAGAGTGCAATCCACACCATCCTCCAGATCATTTATGAAGATATTGAACAAAACCGGCCCCAGGACCGACCCTTGGGGCACTCCACTTGATACCGGCTGCCAACTAGACATGGAGCCATTGATCACTACCCGTTGAGCCCGACAATCTAGCCAGCTTTCTACCCACCTTATAGTGCATTCATCCAGCCCATACTTCCTTAACTTGCTGACAAGAATACTGTGGGAGACCGTGTCAAAAGCTTTGCTAAAGTCAAGAAACATAGTATATAATTTATATATAGATAGATGTAATTTATTTATATGAACTAATGTTGCCAGTTGTCTTGTGGGAGCTGTAGTTCAGAATGCCTGATGCCCCCATTCTCCTCTGTGGACCAGTGTTCCCTGGGCAGACTACGTTTCCCATTATGCACTTGCAGCTGTATGACTCCCAAGATGCACTACATCAGAGGGAAGACTCTGTTGTATCATGGGAGATGTAGTCCAGCCAGGGAGCTCAGCCCATAAGAGAGAAAGGGGGCACCGAATCGCATTCTCATGGGCAACAGGTCACAATAGGGAACTGCAGATTAATGTTGAGTGTTTCAGTTCAGTTCAACAAACCAAAATATTTCAGTTCAGGTTCCCCAGAAGAGCAGCCCACCCAGCAAATGAGGATCAGGCCAGGAGAGATGTCATTATGGATGAACTGAGCTGGGTGGGCCAAGGATGGACCCAGCGGCAGCTACTTGCACTGAGGAGGCAGGGTGATGTGGATCTCGTGACACTGGGAGGTGGGTGCCTCATGAGAGGCTACCTCTGTCCTTTTACAAACATGAGGGGTGGTGTTTATAAGAACCCAGAAAACCCTTTTCCCATCTCCAGAACCTGCAAAATCAGTCCCCTTCTGTGCATATTAAAATAGCAACCTGCACATTGGCATATTAGCCCCCTTGTTTCCTACTTCCACCTCCCCATGCCAGCTGCCATCAGCACAGTTGTGTCAGGATCCTGGCTGTACCCCAGACAATTCCAAAAATCCTGGTACAGTATCAGGCATGTCCCAGGCCCTTCCCTCACCCCCCTGCTCTGGAAGTAGTTTTCCTCCTCCCTGTCCTTTGTGATTATGCTGCAAAGAACTTCCACGTTGTGCTGGGTGTAATACACAAAAGGCTGGACTGGGAGTTGGGGTTCTGTTGTCAGGTCTGCCACTGATCTACTGTGTGACCTTGGACAAGTCACTTCCTCTCTTCCCCCTGCTTTGTCTGCCTGGTCTATTTCGACCAATCTCTTTAGGACAGGGACTGTCTCACGAAATGTGCCTATATCACCTAGCACAAGGAGGCTTGACTTTGGTTGGGGCCACTAGACCTTACTGCTGGGCAAAACCCTGCAGTCCTGACACAGGTTAAACTCCCTTTGAAGTCAAAGGGCATTTTCCATGACTAAGGACTAGAGCAGGGATCGGCAACCTTTGGCACGCAGCCCACCAGGGAAAGCCCCTGGCAGGCTGGGTCAGTTTGTTTACCTGCCGCGTCCGCAGGTTCGGCCAATCGCAGCTCTCACTGGCCACGGTTCGCTGTCCCAGGCCAATGGGGGCTGCGGGAAAGGCAGCCAGCAAATCCTTAGGCTTGCGCCACTTCCCGCAGTCCCCATTGGCCTGGAGCGGCGAACCACGGCCAGTGGGAGCTGCGATCAGCCGAACCTGCGGACGCGGCAGGTAAACAAACCAGCCTGGCCCACCAGGGGCTTTCCCTGGTGGGCCGCATGCCAAAGGTTGCCGATCTCTGGACTAGAGAAATGCTACACGTTTGGGATCATCAGATGTCTTTTATTAAAAGTATCTGATCTTGCTTCCAGTTAAGTTTATGAGACGTCATTACATTACTGGCCATGGGAGCCAGATAGGATCCACAGTGTTTGACAGAGATCCTAATGTTATGTAATTCTCCACCTCTAACTATCCCAAACTGTAATCATAGAATATCAGGGTTGGAAGTGACCTCAGGAGGTCATCTAGTCCAACCCTCTGCTCAAAGCAGGACCAATCCCCAACTAAATCATCCCAGCCAGGGCTTTGTCAAGCCTGACCTTAAAAACCTCTAAGGAACGAGATTCCACCACCTCCCTAGGTAACCCATTCCAGTGCTTCACCACCATCCTAGTGAAAAAGTTTTTCCTAATATCCAACATAAACCTCCCCCACTGCAGCTTGAGACCATTACTCCTTGTTCTGTCATCTGCTACCACTGAGAACAGTTTAGATCCATCCTATTTAGAACCCCCTTTCAGGTAGTTGAAAGCAGCTGTCAAATCTCCCCTCATTCTTCTCTTCCGCAGACTAAATAATCCCAGTTCCCTCAGCCTCTCCTCATAAACCATGTGCTCCAGCCCCCTAATCATTTTTGTTGCCCTCCACTGGACTCTTTCCAATTTTTCCACATCCTTCTTGTAGTGTGAGGCCCAAAACTGGAGACAGTACTCCAGATGAGGCCTCACCAATGTCGTATAGAGGGGAATGATCACATTCCTCGATCTGCTGGCAATGCTCCTACTAATGCAGCCCAATATGCCGTTAGCCTTCTTGGCAACAAGGGCTCACTGCTGACTCATATCCAGGTTCTTGTCCACTGTAACCCCTAGGTCCTTTTCTGCAGAACTGCTGCCTAGCCACTCGGTCCTTAGTCCGTAGCAGTGCCTGAGATTCCTCCGTCCTAAGTGCAGGACTCTGCACTTGTCCTTGTTGAACCTCTTCAGATTTCTTTTGGCCCAATCTTCTGATTTGTTTAGGGCCCTCTGTATCCTATCCCTAGACTCCAGCATATCTACCACTCCTCCCAGTTTAGTGTCATCTGCAA